GCATTTGAGAGTTTCTGATTTGAAATGAACATGACACCCAGCCTGGCTGGTGACATCTGACGCACTGCAGAGGAGAGCCTTGAGGGCGTGGGTTGCTGCCACTCTGTCTCCCCAGCCTGGTGCGGCTTTGGGCTCTGCGCAGAGGCTTAGATTGGTCTGGGTCATCAGCACTTTGCCTGCGCCCCTTTCCTTGTGCCCAGAGCCCCTGAGGGTTGAAATCTGCCAGTGTGTCCCGCCACAGCCAGCATGGGCACCGCGGGTGGCCCTTTGCCCCAGGACTAGACCAACTCCCATCTTCAGCGCTGTCACTGCTCCTGGGATGTGCACATATTCACCCCAGCCTGCCACTTAGGCTCGGGGCTCCATCTTCTAAGGGGAGAGACTTCCACTGATTTTCCTGCTGAGATTGAACTTGAGGAGGTGTGTGCAGAGCTGCTTGGTGGGGATGCTTTTCCACAAATGAACCCCGTGTTAGAAATGGAGCTGACATGGAAGAGGAGAAGGGACATAGAGGGAGAGGCCAGGCCTGGGGCCCATCTGTGCCGAAGGCAGAGGTGACCTTTACTCTCAGCCATTGACTGAGCTGAAGCATTCCTTTCCCTCTCTTCTCTCCTTCTCCTCCTCCTCTCTCTTCTCTGTCTTTGCTAATTGTATGTGTGTATATGTGTATGTGTGTGTGTATATGTGTATGTGTGTGCATGTGTATATGTATATGTGTCTGTATGTGTATTTGTGTATGTGTGTATATGTGTTTATGTGTGTATGCGTGTGTATGTGTGTGTATGTGTGTGTGTGTGCATGTGTGTATATGTGTATGTGCCCATGTGTGTATATGTGTGTTTATGTGTGTGTGTATGTGTGTCTGTGTCTGTATATGTGTATGTGTGTGTGTTGCCTGTTTTAATTCCTGCCACTACTTACAGCTGACAGGGTCCCACCGGACACAGTAGGGAATGCAGTTAGCTCCATGACTTGGGCAGGCTCCCGTGTGAGGCTCTGGCCACTGCTTCCCTCCTCCGCCAAGCCTTTTCTGGCCATGCTGGGGCTCCAGGGCTCTCTCCCGGACCAGAGCACCACCTTTCACATTTTACCGGAAGGGGCATGGCAGGAAGCGCACACCTGTCCTGGGCTGGATGCTGTCCAGCGGGATGCTGGCTCGGTGGAGGTACATGGGAAAGGAGCGCTGTTTGAGTGGTGGTCTGGTCCCTGCCCCTGGAGTAACTCCAGCAGCGGAGAGGCTGGATGTGGGAGCAGAGCCGGTCAAGCAGGACGGGTGGAACTGAGCCCGTGCTAACTTGAGTGACTCTGAGAAGCAGCATGGGGCAGCAGACCTCTCCCACAATCTCTGCATGTGGACAAAGCGGTGTGCTCACGAGGGCCGGAATGTGTCAAAATTCGATGTTTGGCAGCCATGATAGCCCTCAAGAGTCCCCTGCTTGGAGCTGGCATTTTGCAAAATGCTGATGTGGCTGACACTATGAATGTGGCTGGTGGGCAAGATGCTTGAAGCAAGACAGATGGATTCGGGCCAAGCCAGGCTCTCTCTCCTGCCATCTGCTCCGACATCTATTCCAGGGTTGCTGGAGGCAGGGTTGGAGGGCCTGGTGGAGCACAGGTTCAGGCCAGGGTGGGACGGGGGGATGGCAGCATTAATTATCAGCCCTATCTGTGAGCAGCACGTGGAGCAGCTCACAGCAAGCAGGTGTCGGTTCTTCCTGAGAAGCATATTGTTTCCAAGAGGACAAATAACACAAAGAGAAGCAGAGAGGCCAGGATGCAGAGCTTTCTAGACCCGAATAATCCCCAAGCCTGTGGACTGCCACGGCTCCTGCACTCCTGTGTCTGGAAGGCCGAGCTCTCCCGAGGCACTGCTCTCATTCTAGAAGGTGTACCTGGAGTGGGGGTCTCAGCAGTGAGGTCCTCGTGGGCAGAGGCCAGGAAAGCCCCTCCATCAGAGCAGGTGGAGAGGGGTTTGGGGAGGAGGAGGGGAGTGCTGGCCGGCGGGGTCAGGCGTCAGGAGACTCCTGGGCGGCAGGACCGCGCTGGGACGCAGGCATCCTCCTGCCGACATGTAACATGGTTCTATGTTGCTGCCACGAACCCCAAACTTAGTGATGTTAAAAAATAACCTCTTACAATTACGTGTGTGAATTGCGCGTGGCTGGATTCTTTCTCAGTTCCACATGATGCTGGCTGGAATGGCGGCCACCAGGGAGCTCTTTGGACTGGACACCTGAGGTGGCTGACTCACCTGCTGCAGCAGAGAAGGCTGAGGTGCTGGAATAGCCAGGTGTCACCCCGTCCTCTCTTCCCCTCCTCTTCCTCTTCTCCTTCCTCTCCCTTTCTCCTCTTGCTTCGGCCTAAGAGGCAGCTCTCCCCAGAGAGGGCAGGGGGTGCTCAAGGTTGCCCATGGACCTGGGCGGGCTCAAACCCCTGATTCTTGGTAGGCAGACGGAAGGGACATTCTTGATATTCCAACCCATTTGATTCCATTCAGCCAGGCACTGGGGTAGTGAGCAAAAGGAAGACATGGCCCTGACTGTAGGAAGCTCGGTGTATCCTTGGGGACAGGAAAAGTGAGTTCGCAGTTAAATATTTAGGATGTTTCAGGTAGAACCTTATGCAATTGTCATTTCTGTGGCTCAAAAATGGCCAAACCTCAGTGATCTGGCAAAGGCTAATGGCAACACCTGGGTGCCATTGAAGGTGAGAGGCCGGGGTGGGTGCGGGTGGTGCCGTGGCCTGTGGCTAACACAGGGGTGTCCCCATGGTGCCGAGGCCTGTGGCTAACACAGGGGTGTCCCCATGGTGCCGAGGCCTGTATCTAGGAACTCGGGGTCCCCCGTGCTGTGCACCCCTTTCCTACAGCCTACTGTGGGGTGTGTGGGGCTGGCTGGGAGTCGCTGCTTCCGTGTGTCCGCCCCACTGTGGGGTGTGTGCACCCCGGGTCCGTCATGCTCACATGCTCCACAGGTGCAGAGCCTTCACCCACTCGCCCACTCTGTGACAGACACTCTCAGGGCGCGGCTGAGCTGGAACCCTGTCCTGGGGGCTGGCTCTCCGGGCGGAACTTGTCCTGCATCCTCTCCCAGTGAGTGGAGAACAAATGGGACTCAGCTGAGAAAGGCCGGTGCCCGGTCAGAGGGCAGCTCTGGGTAGTTCCGCTGCACAAGTGTCTGAGGCCTTCTTTCTGCAGACGGTGGTGAACAGGCCGTGCTGCCCACCCTCTGACTCTGGTTTGGGGTCATAGCTGATGAGAGGGCTTGGCCCACCTTGGGGGGCTTCAGTGTTCAACAATCCCCAGGGACCCTTTTCTGTCCACATGCAACTTTTTATTCCAGGGACTTCCACTCGAGGGAGGACAACCAGGTACCCCCGGGGCCTGTGGCTGAAGCACAAGCCACTTCCCCTTTCTTAGGCAAGGAGAACCAGCAGCCCGAAGTCTGCTCCAGAGCTGGCCTGCCTCCTAGCAGCTGGGGTTGGGTTGCTCCTGAGACAGTCCCTAGCTGTCTCCGACTCACGGGCTGCTCCAGCGCAGTCCTGCAAAACCAGCTGTCCCAGTGTCTCTGGATCTGCCTGGATGGGGCCTGTTGGAGATTTCTTCCTCCCAAGACTTAAGCCAGGGAGCTGTCCAGGGTAAGGTCGCCAGGGACGGCTGCTGGGAAGAGGCTCGCAGGGAAGGTGCCATCCCCTCCCCCGTTTGTCATCTCAGAGGCCCCGGGAATGGGGGTGCCATGGGACCAGGGTGCCTGCCTTCTGGGCCCCCTCACCACCTGCTAGCTTTGTGGCCTGGGGACAGGGGAGCTGCCTTCTGGCCCTGCTGTCTGGACTCTGTTTACCACAGGGCAGGGTGAGGAGCATGCAGCCTTCGCAGGAGGCCTCCGCCTATGAGCTACCATGAGTGAGGCCACTGGCTCTGGCTCTGTCTGCTGGCTGCCTGATCCGCCGTGACTGAATGTAGCCAAGGCCTTGGGATCTGGAGCCAACCCCACGGGCTCAGCCCACCCAGGAGCTAGCAGTGGGCCATGTCCAACCTTCCCCATGGGCTGCTGAGGGTCAGGGGTCCTGTGGGACTTCATGTGCACAGGGCTGTGCCTGCCTCAGGCCCCTCTCAGCAGACAGGAGCCAGGGCCAGCCCCAGGGGTCCACACCTCTGTGGGAAGCTCCCAGGGGGCAGAGTCATGACCTCAGGGTGCGGGCAGCACATCCTCTCTTCTGGATGGTGTTCCTATTGGGTGTCAGGCTGGAGGCAGCACAGGCCCCCAGGGATGATGCTAGGGCCCGGGTGGGCTGGGGAGGATGGCCGGGCACCCCGGTTGGTGCCCACATCTGCAGCCCTCCACACAGGGTGCACCTGTGGTGCCGGGATCGCGTGGCCTTTTCTTCCGGTCCTCCTGTTTCCCAGCATGCTTTCAGTAATCTGAGTTGATGGGTAAAGAGTCTCCTGGCTGGAAGCACAGATGCCTTCTCAAGAGGGGAGGGGCCCAGCTAACTGGGTGGTGGCGGGGGGCGGGGCAGACGTGCTGGAGTTCCCTAGGGAATCTGGGCGAAGTAAGTGGGATCAGAGAAGAGGGGGTGCAGCCAGGGAAGGGGCTGTTGCTGTAAGCAGGAGAGCACACCAAGCCCCCACTTCTGCCCTCCATGTCTGGTTGCTGTGAGGCAGGGGTGCCCAGGATCCCTGTGTCGGTGCCACAGGAAGCTCTTCTGAAGTGTCCTCTGTGCCACCTACGGCTTCCAGGTGTGGGCTCAGGGCAGGACCATGGAACCCACTCATCACTCACTGTGCTTCTGAGGGAGGGAGGGTGAAAATGGAGGAAAGGAAGGGGAGAAAGCAGGAAGGAAGGAGAAAAGGAAGAAGAGAAGGGAAAAAGGAAAGAGGAAGGGAGAGAGGGAAGGAGAAAAGAAAGGAAAGAAGGGCAGGGAAGGAAGGAGGCAGGAGTGGGGGAGGGAGGAAGGTGGGATAGAAGAGAGGATGAAGGAGGAAGGGAGGGAAGGGAGAAGGGAGGAGGAAGGGAAGGAAGGAGGGAGAAAAGAGGAGGAGAGGAAGGAGACTGAATGCCCGGCCCACAGCCCAGTGTGAGCGGGGTGTGCCCACCTCCCCTTCCGGGTCCTCTTTCTCCTCCGAGGACTCAGCTCTGCCTCTTCTGGGAAGGTCTCTCTGATGGCCTGCACAGCCCCTCTGCGCCCTGGGTGCCCTCCCCATTTCCTGATCCAGTCCCTGCCAGAGTGTCTGGATTAGAATTGCCACACCTGCCTATCCATGGTGGGCCTCTGGCTGCACCGTCCGCTCATCTTAGGGCCTGTGCATCTGTGCCGGGCCACACGCATGGGCATTCTCTAGGTGCGATGTACCCAGTGTCTGTGCCCTGGGGGGCCTCTGCTCTTCCTGTGACAGGAAGTGGAATGGCCAGCAGAGTTGGGAACCCAGAGCCCTGGTCACCTGGAATGGGGGAAGCTGCCAAGGAGGAGAGGCAGTCCCACGGTGGGCACTGACCCACCCAGAGGATCCCACGGCCCCAGGACGGCACTTGGGGATGGTTCACATTTCTCTCCCGCCACTGGCTCTTCTTACCTGCGGCCGAGTGTCCAGGTGGTGGGATGTGACCTATGTGGGAGCTCCGCTGTGGGCCCCCAGGACCAAGCTTGCAGAGTTGGAGGTCCACACTTGTGGGCAGGTGGGACAAGGCTGGGGGACCAGAAAGATCAGAGGCAGGAGCACAGACTCGATGGACCTTCCTGCGTCTGCCTGGGGGCCAGCTTGGAGGGCTTCCTAGCAGAGCTGCAGAGGTGAAGGCCACAACCCACTTCGCTCTGCTCAGACCTCTCTGAGCCTTGGCTGCCCCACTTTCTGACAGCCAGGTCCCAGTGGCCTAGCAGCCCCAGAGGTCTGTGCAGCCCACCTGGCTGTCCCTCCAGTTTGTCCTCGGTGCTGGCCTTGTGGCTTGTGGTTCATTCCTCTGCAGCCTGAAGGCCAGACCTATGGCTGTCTCTGCAAGTCCAGAAGCAGAGAGCAGAGGCGGCTTCCTGCTTTCTCAGTGCACAGCACCTGGCCTGAGACCTCTGAGCAGCCACCCTGCTGCAGGTCCCGGAAGAGGAGTGTCCAGGTTCCTGGCTGGGCCCCTGCCCATACAAGCTGTGTGGACATAGGCAAGTAGCCTGCTCCTCCTCTGGAGCTCCCAGGGTCAGCAGGAGCCTGAGCACACGTGGACCCTGGGCAGCCAGGGAGACACGGGGGTGCTTAATCAGTGCCCGGGAGGGTCGGCTGTGGACCCCAGCCTGCGGGTCAGGGTGGGTTGTTAGGAGACCAGCTCCAAATCCAGGCCGGGGACGTGCAGCAGTTTGTGGTAGGCACGAAGGCAGCACTCAAGTTCCAGAGAGAGGGGAGGGAAACCCCGGCTTCTCACAGAGCTGTTTCCCCAGCTGCACGAGCAGCAGGTTGGAGAGAGCTCATCTGCTTCTTCAGTGCGCGGCTCAGCTCTCCCCACCCCTGGCCTGGTGGAGGCTGCCCCGAGGCCTGGAGCTGGCTTGGAAAGGCCAGAAACCTCCAGGACATCATTTGGAAAATGAAGATGGGCAGGATCAATGGGCGTCAGGGGAGGCAGAGGCAGAGGCTGGCGGATGGGCAGTCAGGAAGGCCTGAGAAGACGGCCCTGTGGTGTTCACTCCTTCCCTGACACCCTGGGAGTGGTCCTCAGCTCCCGAGGACCTGGCCTGTCCGTTGTCAGGGAGGGGAGAGCAGAAAGCAGCTGCAAGGGCACCTCCCCCAGGCCGGCCGGAAAAGGCAGGGGTCTGTGGGTGGACTGGGGACCAGTGGGTCCCATCCAAGAGTGAGCCCCAGGCACTGGGGAGGCAGGGAGGGACACCTCCGCCATGCTGGAAACCCGTGTCCCCTTCCCCCTCCGAGGTTTGATGCTAATCTTACTGTTGGGACCAGCACACGCCAGCATGACGGGGTGCTTTGGAAAGAGGACAAAGAAAAAAAATCCAAGTTTTCAGCACCCTGATACAGGGCTGTTTCTGAGCAAAGGGCTTCCCTAAGGATGTCATGATACTGTGTGTCATGTTCACGGAAGCAACGTGTGGGAAGGGCCTGGGCCCACTTTGCCCCAAGGTTGAGCTGCTGTCCCTCACCACTAAGAGGCTTGGGAACCCCGGGGCCAGGGGGATCTGTGGTCTGAGGATCTCACCATCTGTCCAAGCAGGTAGACTGTCAAGAGCTGAAGAGTGTCCCCCAGAGCTCCTAGGATGAAGTTGTAACCCCTAGTATTTTAGAATGTGACAGTGTGGGGCTAGGGCCCTTTAAAATGTAATTAAGTTACAAGGAGGCCAGGAGGCGGGACCTCATCCAACCTGCTGGGGTCATTATTAGAGGAGATTGGGACACACACACACAAAGGGACAACTTCGAGAGGACACAGAAGCAGATGGCCTTCTACATGCCAAGGAGAGAGGCCTGAGGAGGGAGCAGCCCTGCCCACACCTTGCTAATTCTCAGAGAGTATCACACACACAGTCAATGCTGGGGCAGGCTGCTGGAGCTCTGCCCTCCAGGGCAGGGAGGAACTGGTATCCGATGCTTCAGCTGCCTGGTCTGTAGCCCTGTGCGGCAGGCTGCTGGAGCTCTGCCCTCCAGGGCAGGGAGGAACTGGTATCCGATGCTTCAGCTGCCTGGTCTGTAGCCCTGTGCGAGGCAGCCCAGGCTGGTGGATGAAGAGCCAGGCTCATGGAGGGGGGCAAATGCCCTGCTCAGCCTGGCCCATGGTCCCTGGGTTCAGTGTCTTCCCTCACCATGCAGGCTCCAAGTGCTCAGAGCTCCTGGCTGGGCACAGAAGGCTGGCGTGTGGCTGGAGAAAAGGTGAGGGCCTGTGGGCGGGGATGGCATCTTAGCACTCCAAAGGTGGCTGTTCATTCATGACTCATTGGACCCCAGAAAGGGCAGGATGTTCACATGTGTACATGTGTGCGTGTACAAATGTACATGCATGTGTGTGCACACATGTGCACTCATGTGTGTGCATTCCTGTGGTGACTGAGCTGAATGAGGCCCACCCTCATGGGTCCCGCAGAGTGGGATGAGGAGGCGGCGGGACCCGGGGGGTTCCGAGGTGTCGGGGCCTGGGGGGTTCAGAGGCAGCAGGGCCTGGGGGTGCGGAGGTGGCAGGACCTGGCTGCTACACTCCACAACAGTGATGAAAATGGATGAGGCCGGTGGCGCTGGCCTGGAACGATGGCCGGTACAGATTATATATTTTGCATGACGGAATCTGAGGGAGCAGAGGCAGCGGAATGCCATTTTGGCTAAAAAAGAAAAACAGCACACAATTATAGATATAAATTATATGTATATACACATACACATGCACATATTTCCCCGTTTGTCTGAGAGCAAAGGAAATAAGACCACAGTGATGTGCTGCTCCATCACCACTGGTGACCTTGAGAGGGCAGAGGGGAAGATTTGATTTTTTCTGCAGTGGGGACTGTATTCTCGGAATTCTGAAGAGCACAATGACCTTCATCCTAGAGAAGCCAGTGCAGGGGACGAGAGAGCAGACCAAGGCTGAAGGGAGCCCTCGGGGAGGACAGAGGGCTGGGGTTGGGGAACAGCCCCTCCCCATTAGGGCAGGGCTCCCTGGACAGGGCACTGCTGGGCTAGGATCTGGGATGGGAGGCCCCTGCGCCCCTCCCGTGGTTCTGGAGAGGTTGTCAGGGGAGGGGTGAGGTTGGGGATGGGGACGGGGGCTGGGAGCTCCCCACCTGGGCTGTGAGGGGTGTCTGAGAGCATGCCTTCTGTGGGGAATTGTGGATGGAAGAGACAGGCATAGACCTTGCTGGGTCCAGGTGGGCTGCGGCCGCCCGATCCCAGGACTCTGCCACTGGGCACGGCTGTCTGCTGACTGCAGGACAGGCCACGTGTGGGCAGGGAACGTGGCTCCACATGTGGGGCCTTCAGAGCCCGCCCACCAGCACAGAGTTCCATCCAGCCCAGAGGCCGGCCCTGTCCACAGGGAGCCATGGGACCAGCTCTCCACACAGTGGGTGACGGAGATGGAGGCCCGGCCATGGCTGGCAATACCCTGCAGACCAATCTACCCCAACATACTTCCACCCCCACTGAAGCCTTCCTCATGACACCCCAGGCCTCCCACCGTCACGTCTAGCCATCCAGCCTAGGACTCCCCTCTCTTCCTTAGGCCTCCTCCTCCTCCTCCCTTCCTCCCTAGACCTCCTCCTCCTCCCTTCCTCCCTAGACCCCCTCCTCCTCCTTTGGTTCACAAACACTTCCTAGGCCTCCCCTCCAGTTCTCCAGTGCCCTCAGGAATGTCCTGTTCCTGGTAGAGCCTTCCTTGGTGGGCCAGGGTGGCCTGGCCCTACATACTCCAGCCTGGCCTTCACTCTGCCTGTGGCCTGGCCCCATGGTCAAGTCAGAAGAGAATCAGTCACTGGCTTGTTCTTTCTCTATGTCAGGGAACGCTGGCAAATCACAGCTGAAAGGTGGCCTGGCATTGGATGGCGGGTCTGGGATCACTGGAACAGTCTCCTCTGCTTTACAGCCGAGGCCAGTGAGGTCTCGCAGACCCTGCACAGGTCCCCGGGGCTCCAGGAACCTCTGCTGAGGAGGGGCTGGTGCAGCCCAGCTGGGTAGCAGGTATGGGACGGCTGGGAGAGGCTGCAACTCCAGGCTGCCTCTGCCACTGACAAGACCCGGGTCTAGGTGAGTCCCTTCTCCACTCTGGACCTTGGCTTCCCCATCTGAAGATGCAGGTGGTTAGATACGTGCTCTGGGGCCCCGCTGTGGCGGATCTCCCTGAGCAGGCTGTTCCCATCTCAATGCTATTACACTCGGGGCTGGATTCTTCCTCGTAGGACAGCTGTCCTGTGCCCTGTGAGACGCTGAGCTGCACATCCAGCCTCTCCCAGTGAGGTGCCAGTGTCCCCTCCCTCCAGCTGCATAATCATTAATGTCCCCAGACATTGCCACACATCCCTGGGGGCAGAACCACCCTGGCGGAGACCCCAGCTCCAAAGACCCTCTTGATCTTGCCCTAGGTCCCTGAGCCCCCTGGATCTATAGCAAAATGGTGTGCGCATATATGCGCTTTTCTGGGGAGAAGGCCACAGAGGTTACAGGGTCTAAAAGGAAGGTATGCACCAAGATTAGAATCCCGGTGGCTGCTGTGCTTTCGTGATGCCGCCCATGAGGAGACCCCGCCATCTTTGCTCAGAAGAGCCAGCCAAGGCGTCTGACTCCAGGCACCAGGCTGAGCTCTGCCTCTGGGCTAGGCCACGTTCCCTGACCCCAAAGATCTCCGGTCTTCTCGCTGCCTCTCCTTTCCCTCGTTCTCATTAGAAAATCTCTTCCGCAAATTGCCCCTTTATCTGAAGTATTCCTATCGGGTTTCTAAACCCCGCTGATGGAACAGGGCTATTACATATGCGATCGTGGAACAGGGCTGTTACATATGCGATCGCCTGCATTTATTTACATATCAGCAGCAAAGGGGGCCTGAGTTTTCATCTGGATGACACAGCTGTGCTTGTAAAAAGGGCGTCTATTAAAAGGGCCATTGCTTGGTACAAGCTACAGAGTCTAATTGGCTTCTCAGGGACATTTTTTTATTATTATTATTTGCTCGGGGAACTGTTCATTTGAGCAAATGATATTAAATGACTCTTGTCTCAGTCTTTAAGGAATTACCAGCTGAAAAACAATGCGGAGATGTCAGCCGTGGCGTGACAAAGGCTTCTGGCAACGCGTCTGCCCGTGGACCCGGCCTGCCGCGTTTCCGATCGGTAATAAGCTGGTTTCAGTGGTGATGGGCGCTAACTCTGGTTCCGCAGAACCTGCAATTAACTGGAATAGATTTTCCTTCCCCTTTTACAACTACTGCAAGAAACAGCCAAATTACATGCAAATACAACACTCTTAGGAATGTCTATTTAAATTGTGTCAGATTTGAGCAGCTATTGAGTGAAAGGAGCAACCTGTATTTGGGGGAAGGGTAGGACAGGCGGGGGCCTCCATCCCCATCTGAGGAGCTCTGTGCTCTGCTGGACACCAGCTCTCCCAGCCGGTTTCTGGCTCCCTGCAGTGGGGCTCCCCGGGGCCCCTTCCAGCCCTGCTGAAGCCGCATGTCTGAAAGCAAGGCTGGCAGAGCTGAACAGTCGAAATTCTGACATGCCCAAACGCTCTGCGCTTCAGCGTTCCTGCCTGTACGAGTGACGGTGCCTCCCTCCTGTGTTTGCTGTGGGGTTACAGAGCTCATGCTGCCGTGGCTTCCAGCCCCGTTTGGTACGTGCTGAGGCCCCGCGCTTGCTGTTTTTCCTGGTATCACAGGTGGGCATAGCCACCCTAGACCTCAGCCCAGCTCAGGGACGCCCAGGGGCTCAGAGTATTTACACACACGGTAAATACCGGGGCAGGCCGCTAGTCCACAACAGGCCAGTTTTGCTGCCCAGGGACATTGGGCAGTGTCTGCAGAGGCTTTGGGTGGTGGCGTTGGAGGTGGCTGATGTGGGCCTCTCGTAGGCAGAGACCAGATCCGTCCCAAATGTCAGTGGCGCTGAGGCTGAAAAACCTGGAGGTGGGAGAGAGCAGATAACAGGATGGAAAACAGGAGGGGATCTGTGAGGAGCCATGGGTGAAGTGACGCCATTGGAGAGCAGGCCTGGCACCTTTGCTGCACTGCTCAGTGAGCTGGTCCCATCCTCACCCACGGTGCTTCCCCTGTCTGTTCCCTGACTCCCCGGGACCCTCCCTTGGATTGGAGACCTGGGCATGTCTGGCACAGAGAGGCAAGGCTCAGCCAGGCTCACCCGGCGTCCTCCACTGACCTGGAGCTACCGCCTTCTCCCGAGGTGGAGCCCTGGCAGAGCCCCCACCATGGATATTTGTTCTTGTCCCTGTCAGGAAGATGACCAGAAGCTCAGAACAGAGCACTGTGGGCCGCAACTGAGAGAGGACACATGGTTCACAGAATCCTACGAGTATCACTACTTCACATTGCTCAGGACATCCTAGAAGTCTGTGAGGTCACGGCCAGTGGCCACCCACCAAACAGGGAAAAACCCCAGGCCTGCAAGCCTCCACCACCTACCGTGACCTCACGAGAACCAGCCACAGGGACCAGAGGTCAGACCCACGGCTCCAGTCCATCCTGGGTGATGCAGGCCCCAAGGCTGTGGGATGCGCTGGGCTGGGTTCCCCTAGGAGGTGAGGGCTGAGTTGGATTGAGGGTGGCAGGGGTAAGGGGAGATCTATAGAGCCGGGTGACTGGAGCTCTTGCTGGCTGCACCCCAGCACTCAGGCCTGGACCCGCAGGAGCCCACCTTGGCTCCTGCCTGCTCCCAGCCTCCCCAGCGCCCCATCTGTGGGCTGTCAGTGGTGCTCTAATTAGTGGCCCACAGGTGACACACACACAGCATCTGTAACTTCGCGGCTGCCGACTCCAGCACAGCTCACGAAAAGCCCCGGGGTGCTTTTCGTCATAGTCCTCGGCGCCTCTGGGGAGAAGCCTGATGTGTGGGATGCGTTGACAAGCGGTAGGTTTGAGTCTCTGGAATAACGGCGGGGGTGGGGGTCGGCTCCCATATCGGGAGGGAAGCCAGGCTTGTGTCATTGCAGTGAGCCCAGATGAGAAACAGAGGCTGATACAGAGGGCCACGGCTCTCCACTGCTGTCAACCACACCCCTCAACCGCAGCCCCACAGCTCAGGTCAGAGGCCCCAGAGAAACTTCCAGAACTGTGGCCAGGTACACGGCGGTTTGCGGGGGAAGTTATAAAGTTCAAGGAAGAACAAAGGAGTGAGCTTCCCAGAATGAAAACATAACATTTCAGAGGTAATTTCATAAAAGGAGTCATCAGACCAATATATCACCACGTGGATTTTAACTGCGGAGTGTAAAATAACCTTTACTCTGATATTTATTGAATTGTGGAACCTGCAGGTTTCTAGAGAAAGAATCTAAATGTTACATGCATGTCTGCCTCAGACAGCCTGCACCGTGCTGTAACACATTGTCCTGGAGCCAGCGATGGCCCCCAGGAATCAGGGTAGAGCACACACCTTGGGCTCCTGAGCCCCTGGGGTACAGGTTCTGGGGGAGCCAAGGCCAGGGGCACCCCTCAGATTGAGGCGGCTGGCAGCACTAGAGATTCCGTCAGTGTAGATTCACAAACACTTCCTGAGCACCCACTAGGTGCCAGCGCCTGGGACAGACTCAGGAGACTCAAAGGCAAATGGCGAGTCTGCATCACCAAAGGGAGCCCAGACTAGGAAGGAGGGCTGGGGAGGGAGGTGGGAAATGGGAGGTGACTCTTCATTCATTCATCTCCGCATCCATCTGCACATTCACTCACTCCGCCTCGCACACTTGCGTTTGTGGCCCTCACAGCTGGGCCTGCCCTGGCCCCCGTGACAGCCCTGAGCCATGCAGGGTGCTGGGCGCCAGGCACGTGGCTGCAGTGGAAAACACATGCCTTGTTTTGAAGAATTAATACAGAATGCAGAGTATAGAATGCCTCAGACAGTGTTTATGTGGATCCCATGCTGAAGTATTATTTTGGATATACTACATGACACAAAATATATTATTAAAATCATTTTCACCTGCCTCTTTTTACCTTTATAAATCCAGCTATTAGAAAATTAGAAATTATACACGTGGCTGGCATTTCTCTTAGACAGCTCTGGCCAATAGCCAGGCAGCTGAATTTCAAACCCTGGCTCTGCTGTTACACTGCTAACGTGACCCTGGAAAAGTCACTGAATCTCCAGGGCATGGTTGTGTCGGCCAGCCCAGTGCAGCCAGGCCTGTTTTGATGCAAAGGCATCAGACTTACTGTGCCCGCCCCGCTTAGCATGAAGAGTCCACAGCTCCTTAGTCACCTACTTTCCTGCTTTCTCCAAGAATATTTACAATTGACTTGATATCTGATTGATGCTTAATATGTGCTGGATGCGTTAGGACTGCAAACCCTCTGGGAATTCATAGATACCGGACAATCATGGCACCATGCACAGTCGAAGACCCCAACGCACAGAGAGGCTGTGAACTCACAAAGGCGCAAGCAGCTGAAAGCAGGCTCCTTGCATTCAAGCCCGGGTCATGCAATGTCACAGCCTATGCTCCATGGCTCTGCACACAACCATCTTCCCGGGGCTCAGAAGGCAGCGAAGCTGGTGGCCACCCCCTGGAAGGTTTCCATGACAACAGATGGCAGGACTTGCAGCAAAGTGTTGCCCCACCAGATCCTGGGGGTTTGCTGACCCAGACCCCAACCCTCAATCCCTTTCTCAACCCCAACGACAGCCTGGTGGATCCGTCCTTCCACGCCTGTCACTGGCCTGTCTCAAGGGACTGTGGATGGCCCTCCCACACAGTGTGGGCTGGGCAGTGGTGGTGCCGTGTCCCACTGGCCATGGTGAGGACAGAGCGGGGAGCAGCCACGGAGGAGGTGGTGCTGGCTATGTCTGAGGACACAGGTGAGAGGAAGCCAGGCAGGGCCACAGGAGCATCAGAAGGTGAAAGATCCAGACACACTGTGCTCCAGGGAGGCAGAGCGACCCTTGCCGTCTGAATCACAGGTTGGGAAACTTTCTATAGAGGGCCAATAGTCCTCTGGTTCAGGTTTTGTAGAGCAAGTGGTCTCAGCTTTTCTGCTGTGGTGTGACAGGAGCCTTGGAGTGCATGTGAATGAAGGTGCACGCCTCTGTTCCGACCAAACCTGTTGGGAACAGGCTGCAGCCTGGGTCCGCCTGAGGGTCATTGTTCACAGACCGTGTCCTGAACCCTTGAGGGACACTGATGTAACCCACATGGGCCGGGCCGTGGGCGGTTCCCAGGCTGCAGGGACTGAACACACCCATGTTTCAAGCATCTCTCATCCTCAGAGTGTTTGGGGTGGCCAGGAAGCCTTTGAGGCTGGGACGGCTGTCCCTGCCATTTAAAGATGTTAGGGTGCTGAACACCGGCTGGGAGAGCCCAGCAGCCCACACACAGTGGCCCTGACTGAGGGAGGAGCCTGGGCTCCTGCCCCTCTTCGCTGGAGGCCATAGGCTGCTCCCTCCCCGGGTGCTGAACTGCCTCCACTGGGGTGGCTTGGCTCCTCTGACCACCAGCTCCTCTTCTGGGCCAAGCTCCCGTCTCCTGGGACCTGTATGGGAGCAGCACTCTGGGCCTCTTTCCCAAGCCCCATCCAGCTGAGAGTCCTCATACCCTCAAATTCCAAGCCACAGCCCCATCAACTTTGTCGGGCCCAGGTGTCCACCTGCAGGAACGAGCAGGCCAGGAAGGGGCTGCTTGGGGGTGATTGCTGCTGAGACAAAGGCCACCATGTGGCTGCCTCTGATGGCGACCCTGGGGCCATTGGGCTGTAGCCTACGATGGCGATCCTGGGGCCATGGGGTTGGCGATGCTGGGGGTGTGGGCCTACTTTCCATGCACTGAGCCTGGGCGGGGTCCGGATGACACACAGGCCCCTCTCTGAAGAGGACAGGAGGGAGGGTCCAGGAGGCAGCCCTCCCCTTCCCTGTGCATTGCCCCTGGGCTTCTGGGGGCAAGGGCATGGATGGAGGCTCCTATTCTCCAGAGTGCTTTCATCAAAGACCCCATGAGGAAGCTGAGAGCCTTCCTGCTTGCATGTGGTTAGGACAAAGGTCAGGGCCGCACTCACAGATGGCCACTGCAGATCACCCTGAGGGACTGGGCATGGGCACACCCTCATACCCCAGTGTGGCAGAGGCCAGCAGGGGCCTGGGGCCATCTGGGATAAGGACTTACAGATGTCAAGTGACTTGATGAAGGCTCTGGGTCCAAATGAGTCTTCCTGCCTGGCTTCTCTCTGGAGTTTCTTTTTCACATGTGGTTGGTTTTGTGAAAGGGGACACAGAACCTTTTCTGGAAGGAAAGGGGCATGATTCCTTTCCTTCCCAGAAATCCAAGTGAAGATGAGGCTGGACCCAGGGCAGTGCCTGCACCACACATACTGCTAAGCCTCGGTTTTAGCCCAGGCCGTGGTGCAGGGCAGCAGGGACAGAAGCAGTGGGCCGGGGTCCCTGTCATGGCTACCTCAGGGCGGGGGCTGTGGCAGGCTCAAGCCCGTTCCTGACAGGGGCTGGGTGATTCCCACGTGGCCCTACCTGCTACCGCAAGGGCAGACTCCATTCATCGCTTAGAGATGAAGTCCCAGCAAGCAGCACCCCTTGGGTGCCTGCTGGAAGGGCCCTCTGCTGGGCCTCACTGCTGGGGGCTGGGACAGGTGGGTGAGGGCGTAAATGCAGTGGATCCAGGTTGGATGGACAATGAGTAGACAGGACAGTAACAGAAAAGCCCAGGGCAGGTGCAGACACTGAATCCTCTCAGCAACCAAGTCATTATCCCTTACCTACAGCATCGTGACAAACAGCACGAGAGGACCTCACAAGTGCAGGGCATGGTGGCATGGGCACACAGGGTGGGAGGGCTCTGGCCCTGGTCTCCCACTCCCACTGGGTCAGCCCGGGTGTCCTGGGGGCCTCCAAGTCCACATTCCCCATGTGCCACCCAGACTGCTCCTTGCCCCGTCCGCACAACCATGCGGGGAGTCAGGCTGTGGTCCGATGCTACGTTCACATAGGGGCAGCTAGAGAGATGAAAAATGCTGCACAAATCTCCCTGGAGGCTGTTCGAGGGACCTCCGAGGTGTTAAGCTCTAGTCCTGTCTGTCCCTCTATTTTAGAAGATGGCTGGAAGGAGCCTGGGGCTCTGGACTCCGTCCAGCCTTCCTGGGATCTGCCGGTGGCCTTGGGGGAGCTATTTCCCCTCACCTAGGCCCCCTACTCCTGTGAAATATGCCTTTAAGCTCCACCCTGACTCCCAGCAGGCCCTCAGGAGTGTCACATGAGATCAGGTGAGGGGAGGCCAGCCTGGCAGCGACGCACTGTGCACACGGCCCGGCATAAATCACCATTTAGAGCAGGGAAGCCGTCGCTTCTGGGGTCAGCAGGAGAAGGGAGTACTTGGCAGAGCCACACAAAAGAGAAAAGACTGCACCAGAAGCCGGCACGTGTTCACATTTATGCAAAAATATGCAGAAGTGCCTATTTGTATAAGGAAATTAAACTAGAGTTTTAAATAAATTAATTAATCATCTTGAAGTTTTTATAGAAGATAGAATTTAGCACAAGTCCTGAGTCAGGTCCGTATGTTGATATAAGCAGGAAAAACTTCTGGGTACCGATATTTTGACACGCTTGGGTTCTGTCCCGCTGGCACTAGGTGTGAGCGCAAATGGCCCCTGAGAGGAGCGCTGCAGTCCCTGTGGACAAAGACGCTGTGCTGCCATGTGTGGCTTCTTTCTATTCTGTTTCATTATGTCAAATTCGGAGACAAACTTCGCGTCTGATGTCCAGTTTCTGAGCTACCCTTTGATCAGCAGCATCTCTCAGGGGCATCATTCCGAAAGTGCACAAGAGTCGTCTTACTTACCAGACAGCCCACGTGGCCAGGAGCAGTGGCCAAGGTGGAGCACCCACATGCAGCCCCTGCAGGAGTCCTGGCTCCTTCCCGGGAAGGACCACTCAGTCTCAGCATCTCCCCAGGCAGGCAGATGGGCGGATGGGAGGGCCCCCTGGAGAGCAGCCGCCGTGAGAGCCAGGGGTTCTCTACCGTGCCGGCAGTGGCACGGATCGGGCCCTTAGCTGCTAATTACTGAATGAACTCATGAGTGACCAGTGGCAGCCTCTGCCCATCTCACTGCCCTTAGGGTGGGTCAGCAGAGAGGCAGTGCTCCGCACGCACCCTTCATGCTGACGTTGGAAGTATGTAAATATCCATCATTATCCCTGGTTGGCAGAGGCAAACAATGACTCACAGAGAGAAGGGGCCTG